TTGTAAATTTTGGTCAATGACATGAGACAAAGTATATGTGAACTGCTGTATGAAAAGTGAATTTACTCTGTAAATCTTCACCCAAATCAAAATAAAATTAAAAACAAAACAAAACAAAACAAAACTTAAATTGTAAGAAGAAACTCCTGTTTGGTAAGGCCATCCCATTTGTGGTATATTCTTGTCAGAGTGGCACTAGGTAACCAGAACACTTCCCTTCCCTATAGAGACTCTGGCCTAATTCCTTATTTTATAGAGCACAGAACTGAAGACCAGAGCAGTTAGGTGACTTGGTCACATAGGCAAACAGTGATAGAGCCAAGAGGAGAAACCATATCTTTATCTCCCTGCCAACTGAGCTCCCAAGTAGACCAGGATGTTTTCTGGCTCTTTTCCACTATTGTGATTTAGCAGCTGTCATTTGTTCCGGTGTCCACAAGGGTATATCTGGCTGAATCTTGTTTCCTGGTCCTCCAGTGAAGCTCCCCAAATTATCTGATGCTTGCCTCAACTGCTCTGGAGGGCTGCTAACATGTGTGCTTGAGACACATTTTGAAAAAGCAGTCTATATTCTAAAGATTGTCTCTCTTGAAAGCAACTACAGATTTATAGTTTGTTTGTTACTATTATTTTAAAAAATATTTGTGTTTCCAGTGAAGGTTTTATACAGCAGTTTAGGCTCCCATTCAGTAATTTCTACACAAATTTTTCAGTGACATTGGTTACACTGTTCACAATGCAGGTACATTCTCAATATTTTCATTCTGGTTGCTCTGTTTATTATTTTTTACATTTCCTTGAGTTCAAAGAGGTCTAGCCTGTGTGGCTACGTTTTGCTTTGGACTTGTGAGGGTAACCACTTGGCAAAAGAGTAATTCCTAGACTTTTCAAAGGGCTTCATCTTAGATAGCATTTATTGATGTAATTGTTTATTATCCTTTAGAATCTGGAGTTTAGACTTTGAGGCCATAATGGGACTCTTCTCAATTTTTTTTTCTTGTCAATTAACATGATGGTGAGAATCTCCCAGAAAAATAAGAGGTCATTTCTTGACTATTTATTTACTCAAGTTTCAATTTAAGATTTCAACTTTCATTTAAAAAAAAAAAAGAAAAGAAAAACTCCTCTCTCTTGTAGATAGAGATGCAAGGACTTGGTTACCCTGGTTGGAATAATAATTTTCCTCTATCTGTAAAATCATTCTCTGCAGTTAGGGACTGGAGACAAGAGGTTGATACTTAAGGAGATGAAGGTCTTTCTTGGAACAAAGCTAGTTATCAGTCACCACCAGATCAGCATCAGAGCCACAGTTCCAGAAATGGTGACAAAAGCTCATCCTCTATTCTCTCTTCATGGGTTCTATCTGTGAAGCAAGAAAGGACAGTTTGAATGAAAAACATACAAAATTTTCTACCAGCTATAGTAGATAGATGGGAGCTCTGGTAGCATAGTGGCTAAGACACTTGCCTGCTAACCAGACGGCTGGCGGTTCAAACCCACCAGCCACTCCTTGGAAGGAAGGTTGGGCAATCCTACTTCCGTAGTGATACTGCCTCGGAAACCCAAGGAGGGGTCGCTATGAGTCGGGGCCGACTCGACGGCACATAACAACAACATAACAACAACATAGTAGATACTGGGTTTGTCATCCCAAAATCTATTCCATTTCTCTCCCATTATGCTGTAATAGTGGTTTGAGTAGAACAGACTCAGATCCAAATCCAGCTTGAGGGCTAGACCTTGACTGGTCATAGAAGAATTCCATTCTCTTTCTCCTATCCTTGCCAAAATGAACGAGCTGGTCTATAGCATTCCCACAGCTATGTGGATAGGTTCAAGCCTCTTGCCAGGACAGTATGGTATACTAATATATAGAGTTGGAAACTACTGTAGCAATTTTGCCACCTACGATAGATAGCCCATAAGTTGGTCTGCAATGATTCTTGCCTCCTGATATTCACAGGAATATATATAATGTCTGCTTAGTATATGGTGGACATAGTAATAACTTCTAACTAAAAGAATACAGCAAAAGTGATGGGATGTCACTTCCAAGATTACATTACAAAGAGATGGTAGCTTCCATCTTAGGCACCCTCTATCACTTTCTTCTTCTGAGAGAAGCCACATGCCATGTTGTGAAGTGCACTAAGGAAAGGGCCTTGTGGCAAGTCACTGGTGGAAGGTCCCCAGAGTACAGCCAGTGAAGAAGTGAATTCTGCCAACAACCATGTGAATGAGCCTGAAGGGTTATCTTCCTTCTGTTGGGCTGCTGGACGAGATTAAAGCCCCAGGTGATAACTGCAACCTCATGAGAGAACCTGAGTCAGAGGCCCCATTTAAACCATGTCCAGATTCCTGACTCACAGAAACTATGAGATAAACGTTTATTGTTTTAAGCCACTGAGTTTTAGGATTTGTTAATAAGCATAAAAAGATAACTAATATACCACTATGAGAAAAGCTAGTTTAGTTGGATTTTTTTTTCCCTGTTACTTGCAACTGAGAGCATGTTAACATATAGTGTTGTTGTTGTTATGTGCCGGTGAGGCAGACCCGACTAGCTAGTAGTAATTTAATTTTTAAAAGGTTATTAAATATTAAAATCTTTACAGACAAATGAAATTACTATGATTTACAAAAATGCAAACAAAATCCAAACATCTAATTACAATCATCTATCTCTATTTTTCATATGGAAAATCATATCTATCTATCTATCTATATATATATATAAAAAACCCGAACTCACTGCCATCGAGTTGGATCCAACTCATAGTGACTCCTCCTTGGGTTTCTGAGGCAGTATCACTATGGAAGTAGATTGCCCAACCTTCCTTCTGAGTAATGGCTGGTGGGTTTGAACCATCAGCCTTTTGGTTAGCAGTCAAATGCCTTAGACACTACACCACCAGAGCTCCCAGAAAATCATGTAAGAAGGCTTTATTCACCTAGAAGCCCTCATAATACTGGCAAAGACTTGGACAAGGTTTCCTTTTAGTTACTTACGCAACTGAACAATGTAAATAAACGATGATCACAGGAGAACTGTTAAGTCTACTCAAAACATCTATTGTTGAAAAGTCCTTAAAAACTACTTTAACACCATCTTGCATTTACATGCGAGTTTTAAATATGCTAAGCAGCGGTAAAGGAGGAATTTTCCTTTTTTTAAAATTATATATGCAATTCTGTATTTTCATTTTTATAAGAAGCTTATATCGACTTTATAATTTAAAAAATAAAGATTTTATAAACTGAAAATACTCCCTAAGAGAATCTTGTTTGTAGCCTGGAAAGACTTCCTTTACATATAGTGTTAAATTTGATACCTGCCTATTTGAACACTTGGGAGCGTGTGAAGTGGGAGGAAGAGATGGGAAAGTTACAGATTAAGGCAGAAACAGGGAGAGAACATTCTGATGGGTAGTTTTGAAAGGAGCAAGGACTTGGGTCAGTAGGAGAGGGTTAGTATCTGGGACCAGGATGAGGATTCAACAAAGCTAGACTTGTAAATTCACCTGTTTACCTGCACATGAGGTGATTAAGGTAGCAGTTGTGTAGGGGGTGATTTCCTTGAAGGAGGAAGTAGAATGAGGATGTTCTCAATGGACCACTGTAGCCCTTGGGTTGAAGTAAACTGTAACTTACGAATACACTTATGAGTAGGAAGCTGATATTGGGGAGTTTCCTAGATTGCAAGAAACAGAAATAACTGCTGAGGCCTAAAGGAGAGGAATAGCTACAAAAAAGATGGGACAGAAAGTAACAAGAGTAACAGAAGGTAACAGTAGGAAGTGACCAAGGCAGCTGAAAATTGAGGGCTAGCATGTTATTCTTTGAGCAAGCTGAGGATATCTTGAGGTTTATACTTGGTTTTTAAAATTTCCAACACGAGAAAGATCCACACAGGCAACAAATGAAAAATAAACCAAAGTAAAACAAAATCCAACTCACCACTCTTGTTAACAGCTGGGTTTTAAATATGATGGTTAAACTTTCAAGGTCTTCATTCTTTAAATGTAATTCGTCAAGCAGGGTGGCTATAAACTGTGTAAACACCACATTTTCCTGAGAACACTTCTGAATACCAAGAATTGGGGTCAGTCTGAAACAACCAAAACAAAATGAAATGGGAAGGAAGGAATGAATACCTATGAAATGGGAAGGGCTAAAGGAATGCTGTCTGCAACTTGCCAGAGAGGATTTTCTGAGAATTACGAGGTCTCTCTGATTTAACAAAACTCCCAGGCAGAGACGGCCTTAATGACGAAGAAGAGAAATCTCAGGAAAAAACTGTAAGATCAAATGTATCAGTAAATACGGAATGAAGTCTAAAAGCCTGAATCTACAACAGGTTTTTCATCATGCTAGCAAAAACTACTAAAAAATTAATGAACTCTTTCCACTTGGGGAAGGGGAACTGTGGAGAGGAGCTTGGAGTTAAGGCTGGTAGTAATGACGTGGAATTGACTTGTCAACAACAAATTGAATGTTTGGGTTATACCACCTGAAAAAAAACAATAAATAATTAAACATTATCTTTTAGATAGGATTTTAACATTTTTATTTAAAAAACATTAAATAAATGAACTACATCTTACTAGGCAATTAACAGGAGTTCTGGTGGTGTAGTGCCTTAAAGCATTTGACAACACCAATTTCATGAAGGATATACTTTTCCCTCTAAGCTTGTCTAGTAATTATTCCCCCAAAGTGACTGCATATAATGGAATCTTAAATGTAATTTCTATTGAAATGTGACCAGGAAGTATGATATTTAAAAACTGAGCAATTCTAATTTAATCACAAAGCATAAAGTATACTAATACTCATAAATATTTTTCACTCTAGAGAGTATGCTTTACAGAGCCAATGTGAGTTACATTCCTAGAGAGTTTTTTGGAGAAAATTCTTTTTTGTCCAAACAGTCTTACAAATACCACAAAATTTCTTTGCATGCTTATTTAACCTTAGTCATTGCCAATGGGCACATAAAATATGAATAAAATAACTCTGATTTAAATCAATGATGCACAAGAAATCAGAGCAGAGCAATTGTATATTAGTGAGTGTGGAATGGGAAATGTTGTTTTCTAAGGGACAGATTTCCTCCTTGCTTATCCATCTCATACAGAAAGCAGATATAAAAGGAAACATTTGTCAGAATTGTCTAAATATGGCCAAGACTTCCAGGGGAGGTGGTAAATTCTCCTTATCTCTGAAGGTATCTGTTCTGGTTACCTAGTACTGCTCTGACAAGAATATACCACAAATGGGATGGCTTGAACAAACAGGAGTTTATTCTCTTACAGTTTGGAGGCTTTAAGTCCAAGTTCAAAGTGCCAGGCTCTAGGGGCTGGGTGAAAGTCCCCCAATTTTGGGCTTCAGCTCTGCTTCCTGTTCCTGGCCCACTGAAGCTGGAGGCTTTGCTTCACTCAGCTGCTGGCTGCTGAGACTGACAAATCCAAGCTTGGCAAGTAATAAGGCACAGTTCCAATGTTACCAAACCACAAGGCAGGGCATTAATTCAAGTCCATTAAAAGGTCCCAAGGTTGGCAGAGCATAGCAGGCTGCTGAACAACACAGATACATGCAGGGTCCAAGCATGCCATAAGCTAAAGATTGTTGCCTAAGGCTTCTCCTTATATATAGGAAGCAGACCACATCCGTAAGGCAGCTACTCAGCTGTTCACAGTAGATTCTACCATGGAGTTGATTACCAGTCTCATCACGGGGAATATTGTAGCCAGCTGCCCTGCCCAGCCACTCAACCAGGCCCAGCCAAGTGGACACACAAACTTAACTACCACAGTATCTTAGCAACGACTGGAGATTAAGTGATTCCAATAGTTCCGTGAAATCTACAGAGTTCTAGCTCTTTCAAATTTCTTCATAGTCAGGTGGATGGAATACCAAGTTTCACATTTCATGAGGCTTGCCTGCAGGTATTCCCCAAGGTAATTCACACTGGGAGGGAGACAAGACTACTCCAACCTTGCAACATCAAGCCCAAGCTTGGTAGTTGGTGACCCTAGGCAGCTGTGGTCAGCTTCTCCTGAGATATCTTCCTACAGAGAAAGTGGAATCCAGAAGTCAACTCTTTCTTTTCCCACACTAAGGTGTTGTCAACATTTTGAATGTGAAGTTCCTGCTTCCCCACAATAAGACCAAAGTTACTGGCAATGGGATAACACTGGCTAAAATAAAACCAAGAAGCCCGGAGTAGGCAGATTAGATAGGTCAGTTCTACAGAGACCTAGCTTTTGTGTATTTAAATAGTACTTATATGATCCATTCAAAACAATTTCTCTGACTTTCAAAGTTTAAGAGACTAAAATTTGGCTAATATATGAAATAAGGTTGTTTTCAACTACCTTTCAAAGTGACATTAGTAGATTTTAAAAAGTAACCCTGAAATTAGAAATAAATTGTGACTAAAACGTTTCTTAATCTGTGTGCCTATAGGTATGTGAGACCAGAAAATGTCAAGTTAGGAAGAAACAGCTTATAAGAGATCCCCTTTCTACTGTCCCGGTTAGAAAACTTTTAGGAATAGCAGTACTTCTCTAGCAAACTTATAAGGAGAAAGGATTCTATAAATTATTAACTTCATTGTAAGTAGTGTTCAAATTTACCTAAAATTTTTGTTTGTCAAAAAAAGTAGGGTTCAAGAGAAACCTTAGCAAGGAAAGAAGGGGAAAAAAAAAAGCAGTAATAAGCACATGGCAAATACTGCTAATCAATCAGGCAATCTTTTAACCTTTTATTGTGATTTGGGTGAAATTTTATAGAGCAGATTCATTTTCCCTTCAACAGTTCATACACATTTTGTTTCATGACATTGATTATAATCCCCACAATGTAATAGTTCTCTCTCCATTTCCTCCCTGTGGTTCCCCTTTCCGTGTGTCCTCTTTACCTATGCATTCCTGCCCTCCCTGTGCAAATGCTGCCCTTTTGATTTCCCTTGGCTGATTGTTAAGGAGTGTATCTCTCTGATGTAATTGTTTAGCTCATGGGCCTGTCTACTGTTTGGCTGAGATTTATACCACTGGAGTGAATCCAATTCTAGGCCTGAAGGCTGACTAGGAGCACGCATTCTTTTTTTTTATTTCAATTGCGCTCACACTTGCTTTCAAAATTCTTCTCTACGTGGCTCAGAGCAATCCTTCAACAGTCTGGAGTTGGCTACTGAGATGAAACCTATTCACTCCAATCCAATTGCAAGCCCAGGATAACTATGCCTTTGTGACCCCTGTATATTAACAGTACTAATCCTAGCTCTGGTAGCATAGTGGCTAAGGCACTTGACTGCTAACCAGAAGGCTGACGGTTTAAACCCACCAGCCACTCCTCGGAAGGAAGATGGGGCAATCTACTTCCGTAGTGATACTGCCTCCTTGGAAACCCAAGGAGGGGTCGCTATGAGTCGGGTGCGACTCGATGGCACATAACAAAAACAACAATCCTAGCTCTGCCTAGACTGCTTGTATGGTGTTGGGTAAGCTGAACTTCAAAGCTTTAGGGTCTATCTATAAAATGAGGATAGTAATACTTAAGTACCTGAAAGAGTTATTATTGTAAAATTCAAACGGGATACTGCAGATGGATAGTTTTTTTTTTTTTAATCAATTATGATAATGATTGCAATATCAACTAATACCATGTGCTACCTATGATCACTTACCGTGTACTCATTCTCTCCTTTAATCCTCACAATGACACTGGGGGATATAGCATCATCTCCCATTTATTGGGCAGCTCTGGTTGCATAGTGCCTAAGGCACTTGACTGCTAATCAGGAGGCTGGCGGTTCAAACCACCAGCCACTCCTTGGAAGGAAGATGGGACAATCTACTTCAGTAGTGTTACTGCCTCGGAAACCCAAGGAGGGGTTGCTATGAGTCGGGTCTGACTCAACGGCACATAACAACACCACCACCACCCATTTATTGATGAGGAAACAGAGGCACAGAAAACAGTACCTTTTCCAAGGTCACAAAGATAGTAAGTGGCAGGACAGGTCTTTGAACTTCAAAAAACAAATAAACTCACTATCGTCGAGAGTCTATTTGACTTACAGCGACCCCTCCTTGGGTTTCTGAGGTGGTATCTCTATGGAAGTAGATTGCCCAGTCTTCCTTCTGAGGAGTGGCTGGTGGGTTTGAACTGCCACCCTGGTTAGCAGTCAAATGCCTTAGGCACTATGCCCCCAGAACTTTGAACATAGGCAATTTATTTCAAGAAGCCAAAGCTCTTAGCCAATATGTTTAGCTTTTATTCTTTGTAGGCTGGAAAGCGCTCTATAAATTTAGCCTTTACCTGCCTGAGTCTTCAAATAAACATGAAGAAGGAACAGAATGCTTTATATTTGTTTTCCAGAACTAGAAGACTAAGAAATGTGAAAATGATAAGTGTCTGGCAGGCGGGAGGAAGTGCTGATAGAAAAATCACACAAGGTCTGGTGTCTGTTAGGAGACAGGAATATCAGCTGGGGCCTGGGGATTTCTGCAGCAAATGATCAAGCAGCTAGGTAGCAATTCTCAGGCATGTGGAGCCAGGATTTCCTGACTACTCCTTGCATTTGAGCCCTAAGTGTTGTTGCATAATTATACTACTGGAAATTAGCCAAGCAAGATTTCCTTCATCTTTATTTATTCCTTCATATCTCTCCTTCAATTTAACTGGGAAGACTTCTTTTTCCTCACTCCCCAGTCTCTAACACAGAATGGAAATGATTATAAAAATAAATAATATTAACTTTCTATGAGTTTTAAGTTTTCTTAAACTGTCTCTGAAATAAGGTAAGGTATAAAGTAATAAATATCTCTAAAAATTAAGAAACCAGTAGACCCCTTTTGCAAAGTCATGTAAAAGTGTGTTTTCTCTTGATTAATTATGCTCTCTAGAAACCAGGATGTTCTGGTTACCTAGTGCTGCTCTGACAAGAATTTACCACAAATGGGATGGCTTGAACAAAAAGGAGTATATTTACTTATAGTTCGGGAGGCTAGAAGTCCAAGTTCAAAGGGCCAGGCTCTAGGGGCTGTGTGAAAGCCCCTCGACCTTGGGCTTCAGCTCTGCATCTTGCTCCTGGCTCACTGA